CGATCTCCGCAGAGGGTTGCGCGTCAAGTCTCCAAAACGAGCGTTTCGTACGAGACTTCCTCAAAAACTCACACGTCAAAGTCTGCAAAATGAGCGTTTCGTACGAGACTTCCGACATTCACCTCTACCACAACTCACAACCTCACGATTCCCTGCGCCTGCCACGAATCTTTTCCCATCCACACGTCTAACGCGCACAAAGTACTGCGCCTGCCACGAAATGTCACCTCCCTCACACCTCGCAACCTTACGATTCCCTGCGCCTGCCACGAGAATTGCACTTCCACGCTTCAAAGCCCGCACGAAGGAAGTCCTGCGCCTGCCACGAAAAGTGACAATATCATCGCATGTGAGCTTCAACAAAATTTGCACCACACCACACGTTTGGAATGATTTCGACCCGTTCAGAGCACACTCCCATCCACCAAAATCGCCATTTCAGCTGAGACTTGTCACGAAAACAGAGCTTCGATGCCACACCCTGAAACGCAAATCCCAATGGCACGGCCACATCCAACACCCAAAAACACGACTCTCCAAACGCTAATCCCAATGGCACTGCGCAGCAAACTGCGGATCTCACAAAACGCTGCGCCTGTGCAGCGAAATGCATCACGTTTCTTGCGCGACATGTCGGTGTCATGCCAATCACAATGGAATTGCGGCGCAAACTGACACGTGACACGTCCATGCAAAGTCACTTGCAAAAGCTTCCCCCAATGGCAGCAAATTTGAGACGCGACGACGACGACAAACGAAGAGAGACGACGAGAGACGACGACAGACGACGACACGATGCAAGCCACGCGAACACAGCTCCAACCCCCAGACCCCCAACTATAAACGGGAACCCTTCGCTACGCATTCGGGAATAAACAAAGGACCCACCCATGGGTAGCCCATGTATATCCCATGGAAGCCCATGCTTGGGCATGGAGGCTTGGGATCCAAGACTTCATTTCCTCCCTTAAAAAAAAGTAAAAACGCCTCCTCCCAAAAAGCCATGGAGCCAAAAAGCCATGTAGGAAGACCAACAATCTGCGTCAATCTTCCATAACTTGCCATTAAAAAAAACCAACAACAACACTCCTTCCATGGCTCGGACAGCCACATCGGCTGTGGGCCCCAGGTCACCTGCGCAGCGGCCAGCGCCATGAAGCCCAGCCATGGCGACATTCGTCCGGAGCTCTACAGAATCATCGCAACAAAGTGCCACAGACTCCATCATCTTGGGTCGTCTAAGATCAAGATCCACCAAACATGCGATAAAGTGACTCTAATCTGGCCAAGTTGCAGCATCTGTTTGCTGACGAACGAGTTCTGAATTGTCTTGCTTCAAGAAGATTGGCGTTTGAACAGTTGGCAGCTTCTGCCCCTCTTTACCATGAGGGACTTCATGAGTACTATTATCTTCGAGGAAAACTGAGGCCGCAAACACAGCTTTAGAATGTTCAAATTGTACAATGGACAGCTTCTCTTTGATTCACTGGCTTTTGGCCTGTACTTCTATAACCTGGTCCTACTATGTACTTCCAATTGTCCTGCAGCAGCGAGTTCTTTTGACATGCCTTCGATGTTTGCTTGCTTCGTTCCTCTCGGGTCAAACCCACCACGGCTGGAGACCTCCTGCAAGATCTTCGATGATCTTCGTTCGTCCATCCTTCTCCTGGATCTGCGCAAACGTTTTCAACTGGTCCTAGTTTATCTCCTCACTTGCGACACGTTCCCAGTCTGGAACTCTGCGACGAGGTATTTTTACTTCTGCCCTCAGTCTTTTGTCAAGGTCGCAGTATTGGAAGGCTTGTGTTAACCCCAGCAAACTTGCTCGAACTTAGAGGTCATGGACGCTTTTGAGGACACCGAGCTGTTTCTGGTCTTTCTGTCACCGAAGGCTCCTTGAAACTGTCTGACTTGTGGGCTTGTTCTATATAATGTGTTTCCCCTTTTCACTGCTTCCCTTCTCTGGCTCGCCTTCGTGCGACTCCTCATCCTCAAAGTCTCTTCCACTTCCTCTGAGCTGTCATGGTCTTCTTCCTCTGCTGTCTCTTGTGGAGCTTCTAGTGGAGCTTCTCGTGCTTGCTGTGCCCCCTCTTCCTCTTGTCTTCAGAAGATTTGTCAGAGCCGCAACTTGCAGCTGTCAGGGGCACTGGTCTGCCCAAAGTAAGTCCTTCTTGTCTCGGCTGCATCCGCTTGGGCGCTGCCCATGCTGTATTTGCCTTTCACTGGGCCAACTGGACCGAGTCCACATGCAGCTTGTGGAGCAATGCATGCTCGGTCTAGAAAGCTATTCAAAATATGGGTGCTGCTGACCAAGGATGCAGCATCAGCCTGCTCCCTAGAGCTCTGGAGCTTCTCAACCTCACGATCCGGTCTTCCTTTGTGCTTGAGGGACCGTGTCTTCACCATGAGCCTGAAGTCCTTTGTTGCAGCGTCTCCCCAAACTGAATACAACTCTGTGGCAGTTGCTGACTATGCATAGGATTATGGAGGGTTAGAGGTTCAACTTTCAACTGCAGGTATGTACAACACATTCAAGGCTTAGAATTTCAACATGTTGGAGGTTTCACGAATCAGCATTGCTGGTTTTTACAGTGTCCTGGAAGCTTCAAACGCGCTGAGCATGTGCTTCTGTTCCACGGGCGAAGAGCTTGTTTTTCCTTTTGGTGCACGGGCAGCAAGCACAAGGCTGAACGACCTTGTGATACACCTAACCACAAGCTCAAACGAAGATGGTGAGGTGCTCTGATCCGGATCCTGCAACCCCATGGAAGTCTTCAGGTGTTGATCCGCTTCGGTAAATGATCCGTCGACATCGCTGGAGTTCAGAGGTGTTTTCGCTGATGAGTTCGACCCAAATCGATGTGCAGCCTGTCTTTATCGATGTCGATATGGTTCAGCCTGTCTGAGCCTGGCAAATCCCTGAAGATTGCAGAGACATCAGGTACCAAAAGCGCAAATTGGTCATTTCACTGGTAGATTTCGTCCGCCAAGTCTTCTTCTTCACCTTTCGGGGTTGCGTGCGGGATCATCCTGGAACATTGCCTACTCGTCTAATCGATAGCGAAGGCGTCGCTTTGAACAAGTCATGAACAAATTGCATTTGGAACAGTCCAAGCCTGTGACGGCAAGCTGCTCCGGCGGCTCTGTTGTTTCACGGTCTTCGGCACCTTGTAAGGCCTGTGAAGCTGTTTGCACCAACTCTTCCAACGGTGCCGAATTCGTGGACGGCAAATCTGCTCTCGTAGGCTCCAACCTGGCTTGGGCAAAGCATACAGATGTGTCCCCTCTTGCAGTGAGACAAAGAAATAGATCTAACAAAGGGCCACAAGGCTGCCAAGGCTCCTTGAAGGCCCAAGGCTCTTCTCTGTCTCAGCGTTGCTGTTCGCTGCATCACTGTCTACACGGGATGCCTCGGAAGATTGCCATGAAGGCGTGGGCATCGGTGGCAACGGCGAAGGGGACGCAATTGGCGGAGGTGTCGGTGGTGGCGGTGGCGCTAGTCGTTCTGGCGGCCTTTGGGATGTGGCAACCAAAAGATGATCGTCATTCTATGACGTCAACTTCCCGGTTCACAGAAACTTGGTCAGGCTTTGATGGATGACTTGTAAAAAGAAAAGCAAGCAGTGCTGAGTACGTCTGTGTGCACTTGCATGACGTGGAATGGCGGTCTCTACGTCTTCCAAGCCTGTCTGTAGAAGGTACTGCATCAGCATCCTGGAGAGGAATTGCCGGACTTATACTGTTGTGTCAGCAATTACCTTAACAGTATTCCCAAAACTTGCATTGAAAGATACGTTACAACTACCCGCATAAAAGGCTGCCTACTTAATGCGCCCATCACTTGCAGTCTGTTTATGTGACATTCTCTTCACTGCCCCTCCTCATCATTAGATCTTGCTGACGTGTCGTTCACCTGCAAGTTATGGATACTTCTGAATTCCTTGTGTCCTCAAGGAATATCTCCGCTCGTGTCGATCATCCACAGCGGAACGCCGCGCGTTCCTCACACGGCTCGTGCCCACGCCTTGCAAATGAACTTCTGACGATCGGTGCAGAAGGTATCCAGCCAATGACCCCGGAAGGGCTTCGAGACCTGCAAGGCCCGACGGATCGGTCATGGCCCGACGGATCGGTCGTGGGTCATGGGATGCCCACATGAAGACGCGCCATGCTTAAACTCAAGTCGTGTTCTCCGGCCCAGGCCTCAAGGACATTACAGTCAGCTGTGTGGCCGTAGGTACCTTGAGAAGACATAGGGCTATATACTGGCTGCAAGTTTTTGATGGGGTGTGGAGAGCTATGCAACACTCAGAATATAACTAAAAAAGGTCTTGCCAGAGCAGATTTTTCGGGTGGGAGATCCACTAGTAAGTGCTTGCAGCGCCCCAACATGTGAGAGGACACCTTCCCGTCTGCTTCGTAGCACTCTCAGCATCTCGCAATGCCGGTGGTCTGTGCAGAAATCATTGTTTGGCTCCACATTCCTGCGAAGCGGAAAAGGGCTTTGCGAAACATACTAGCAAGTATACAGCAATCATGTGGTAGGACGTCAGCTATCTCCCAAGGAATGCCACACCGAATGTTCCATTTCGGCCACGGTCCCTCCGCCATGGTCAAACCAACGGGACCATTGGAAGGCGGTGCCATCCACCTGAGGCGAACTCTCCGTCCCTCGGTCCGGTCCCGGTGCGAGGTCCCGGTGTCGTCCGTCGTGTCGTCTCTTCCTGCGGACCAGTGACCCAAATCCACTGTCGCCTTGGCTGGTTTCGATCCGTGCCACCTGCGTTGGCAGGATGAAACACAACTCATAAGACTAGATGAAGGGCTTTGGGCAACAAAACACACGCGGATTGCTGGGTTTGAGCTTCATGAAGTGGCAGAACCTGAAGAATATTCATCTACTTTGATGCACCCACCACTTTCGACAATTCTGAGTGACCCTCCTCTGGAAAATGACATCAAACAGCTTGCCCTGCCTAGCCAACAACCTTGGTGGTAGGGCCTTGCAGGTAGCAAAAGTCGGCGATACAAAAACTCAAAGTGTGACAAGTAACAAAGACTCGAAAGTCAAAAACACCTGTAAAAGTGCTGTCATCTCAATGAAATTGCGCCTTACGTTGCCACATGCGAAGATGTACTGATCATTCTCGGCCTAAATCATGGCAAATCGCTGTTTGAAGACTGCTTCAGTTGTTCGAAGACTACAGTGAGGCTCGTGGTCTTGTATCGGCCTTGCTGTGCACAGATGCTAGGTGGGCGCCACGATTTTCACACTGCTTCTTGGCCTTTCAGCAAACTGAGCAAGCTGAATGTGCACAAATCAAGCTGTTCCCTCGATTCTCATTATGTCTCGTCAAACTCGAATCAAATCTTGTCGGGAGAGGACCGTCCTGCTCTATTGTTGTCGATGTATATGTTGCTTGATTTGCTCGTGCAAAACGCGTCGTCTAGCAACGGGCATGCTGTGCATCTGCACAACTACCAGATCAGCATTAAAGTGCAACGGAGCTACAGGCAATCCACTAAATACCAGTTCTAAGCAGCTTCTACCTTCTGTGAACAAGCCATTGGAAGGTGTTCTTCAACTTTGTGCAATTGGACTTCACTATCCTTCAATTGCTCTTACAAGAGTTCTTGTAAAAAGAACGCCACTAAACAGACATATGACATATGTGACATATGTTCTTTCTTCGTGTGCATTCGCCTCGTCCCAATTGGCAGGACCTTCGAAGACCTGCAAGCAAATGTGTTCAAAGCGGATCCAGTCATCGGGGCAGACTGCGGCTGCCATCAGCCTGTGCAAAGGCAAAAACGCGTGCCAAAGGAAAATGGTTTCTTTTCGAAAGAGGGATCAATGGATGGGTTGAAGGGAAAGATCTACAGTAAAGGAAATCATAGTTTTCACCTTGCCTGGCAGCCAATGCCACAACGAACACTGCAGAGTTTCCTGCAAGAATGGCTGGTTCATCGCAAGTCCAGCTACGTTGACTGGCAATAGAAACAACGAAGGTAAACCGGTTGCACGTGGGAGTTGAATCCAAGATGAACACCCCAGCAACCATATCTGATTCATTGTCCATCAAGACCGAAGAAGGATCGCCTTTGTTGGACTGCTTCAAGTCCAAAAGAATTGGGAGCAGCGACCCAATAAGCAGCGCAACAAAGCCACTCTAGGCATTCTATTTGATTGAATGCATTGAAAGCGTCCTGCCATTGGCACTTGGGA